GTTAAAACGGGGTTTCTTTTTTGGACCCCGCATGTTTTTTACCCCCCGGTTTATTTTGGGCCAGTTCCGTTCCTTTTGGTCCCCAAGCCCTTCTTGTTTTGGAGATTGGAACAAAAGGGGGGGGAACGGGGTAGAAAACCAAGAAACCACAAAACCCTCCCTTTTGGGAACACCCCCAGAGGAAGGTAGCCCAGCACCCCTTTAAGACCCCCCCTCCAAGTAGTTTACGTGGAGGGGTCCCGCTAGCCCCACCAGGGGGCGTCCAAGATTATGTGGGGCCCCCCCCCCCCCCCCCGCGCGCCCTCCGCTGTCCAGAGAACCCCAGCACATCAAAGCGACGGCAACAAGGGCCGTGAACACACGCCAAACTAACCGGCAGTCTGTTGACCAAAAATAAGCTTCCTCCCGACACGTCAACACGAAACTGCCCCAGCACGAAAGAAACAATGGGCATGTCAGGCGATGCCGTGTTGTGCTCGGGGAAGATACGTAGATGTCTTCTTATCCTCACCGTATTTGATGCGTTCGTCTGCTCTGGGGTTTCCGATGTTGAGGACGGGGTTGAGAAGGTTGTCGTACAGGATCTGAAACGGCGGAGTTCCGAGAGCAGCAACAACGACAGCAATGGACGGGTTGTTTAGTTGTCGAACAGGTTCAAAAGCAGCGGAGAAGCAACAACGACAACACACACAATACCAACGACCAGGGTTGTCGTACGGATACAGGATCTGAAATGGAGGAGCAACAACAACGACATCGGGAAATGCGCGGGTGAGAGTGTGCGTGCGAGCGTGTGTGTGTTTTCTTCCCATCCATAACCCTGGTGCCGAACTTTTTTGACGTATGAGCCGGGGTCACGCAGGAGGATGGCGACACGGGGAATCTTGATCACTTGTAGGTGAGTAAACTAAACGGCGGCACGACGACGACAACAACAACAACGGTCTACCATGGTACGTGGCACCTTCCCCAGACAGCTTCGCAAATCAGACCCCTGTTGGCACTGCCATCCCCAACAACTTTCTACTGCTCCTCCCTTCGCATGGTCACCTGAACGTCGAGCGACTTCACGGGGTCCTCCGCGGGGAAAGTCCCGTCCTTGGCTCGGATCGTGTACCAACTCCCTCGCAGGCACATGGCCATCTCCCTCACGCGGCCGGGCTCCACCTTCGAACCCTCCGGCGTCGTGGACACCTCGAAGTTTACCGACACTCGCTCGAGAAAATCCTCGTCCTGGAGGAAGAGGGGGGGGTACTCATGTAAACGCATGCCGCAGTCGTTCGCATCCCTAAAAGGTCCGGACGAGGAGGAGGAGGTCTATAGACAAAGTGCAGCGACGCCTGACAAGAGCCTGTACATCTGTACATACCTGATAGCCGGTTTTGCGTTCGTCTTTGGCTATGCAAACTCTGATAGATCGGTGCGGAGTGTCGTCGACGTATCTACTGGGTAGGTGGCCAGACAGGCAAACATAGGAAAATAGGACATTTGACGTCAAGACAACACACACATAAACAGCACACCGATAACACCAACAACAACTACGACGACGCCACCAACAGCAGCTGCAGCAACAACAACAACACCAGCTACAACCACGACACCAACAGAACCACTGCCACCGCCAAAACCACCACCACCACTACCACCAACATCAAACCAGCTAAAAACACGACAACACGAACAGCCACCGGGAGCAGCAACGCTGACAACTCACACCGGTTGGTTTCGTTTGGTTCGGTTCTTAACGTTCCTCACCGAAAAGCCCGCCAGGTCACGAACGACTCGGTTGTACTCCATGCAGAGCAGCTGATTGGAGGGGAACAGCACCGCCAGGAAGAAGTTAAAAGGCTCCTCTCCCGTCACCACGTCCCCCCTTGCAACTGCCTCCTTGATCTTCATCTCACCCACCCTGTTCCAAAAAAGGGGTTCCGCGGTATGGAAGCATCAAGTTAGTTGGCGACGTTGACCGCAGTTTAGGACCGGAAATGCGGGGTCATGCATTCGTCTTTGCACGTCAACATTCTTATGAATAGTCTACATTTCTTTGAGGTTCTGGGAAAAGACAAGACCTTTAAACAAGGAACACCAACAACAGTCTTAAAGGAAACAACAACAGCCGTTGCTAACCTGAACGCCGACGCACTGCGGTGGTGGCCATCCGCGATGTACGTGGTCTTGACGCTCTCGAACGCCCTCTGTATCGCGAACACGTCGACGGGGTCCCTCACGGCCCACACAGAGTGCTCCGTGCCGTCTTCCGCTCTGAACTGCACCTCGGGGTTTTCCCTTTAGTTTCGGAGATCGCAAGCATGTCGGAGATGGTATTTCGGAGATGGCATCTCGGACATGGTATTTCGGATATGGAATTTACAGAGATGGCATCTTGGATGCGGTGTTTCGGAGATTTGCATGTCGGACATGGTATTTCAGACACTGCATTTCGGACGCGGTATTTGGGAGATGGGCATGTCGGAGATGGGTATTTCAGAGATTACATTTCTGAGATGGCATGTCTCCATATTGGAGTCGGAAAACACACACCGATAAACCACAGCAAACATCGCTTTTGCGGCAGCCTATACAGCCGTCTGATACATGCTCCACAGGAGAACAATCAAAACAAGGACTGGACGTCGACCGAACATGCAATGTAAATCGCATTCGACTACAACGCAAACAAGGAGCCCAGGTAAAAAAAACAAGCACGCAAGCATACGATCGAGCCCTAGTCTGCTTTCTGCTTCTCTTGGACATGGAAACTTTACTTCATCGTGAGTGTTTAGACTTAACTGCAGACTCGAGTAAATTCGTTGCTTCTATGCATACTTGTGCCCTATTTCAGGTCAGCTTGTGGCCGCGGAAATCTAAGCTTGAGCTTATTCAGCTCGACAGAATACAAGCAGGCATGTAGAGGTCAGCATGGTACAGTATGCCTTCCCCCAAACCAATGATAAAAGCACAATCAAAACTGAAACCAACAACGCACACAAACAATCCGTTCGAATATATTCGGCAACCGGCCTGCGACGAACTCGTAAAAACGACCCACACTCCCGGAAAACACTTGGTACACCATGGGTCTCTTTGGTCACGCCGCCATGCATCGTACTACAGTCGGGGGGCGTCAAGTACAGCGCCGAACCACCAACACATTATGCACAGTAAATGGCATCGGTCCCTCCGAAAAGCGCCGGTCGATGCACCGGGCACATACCGGCGTTGTTGAGCCCCCCCCACGGTACAGTGTACAGGTCTCACTATTAGGGCAATTAGGGCAAGGCACTCACCGCGTCATCCTGCCGACAATCTCGTCCACAGTCTCGCTAGTTCGGTAGGTGAGGAACACGGGGCCAGCGTTGGCGTTCTGCACGTGCGTCAACCTAGTCCGGTCGTTTTCCTTCTTCACCTGAGTCTTCTCGTGCCTTCAGTATTGTTCGCAAACGAAGGCGCAAAAAAAAACAAAAATCGTCAACTCCCCCGTCTTTCGGTGATAACCGAATACGAACAAAAAAGCATTGAGGGGGTGGTTGTGTTTAAACATTGTTGGCATTGTGCTGTACTTGCGTAATATTGGTTTCGGGGGAGGACAACAGAGAATGGCAGTGTACCACTCGCACTCTTTTGTGTGTAGGTGTGTTATTGAATTTTCTCTGTAAGAGGTACCAGTATTGGGAAGGACATGTTGCAAGCTTGAAACGTGACTTTTCTTCCTGAGTGTCCGCAAAAGAAACACAGATAAGAAGACGGTGTACCAGTATGCAGTATATCATGACCTGAGTGGGGATCATTCCTGCTGTGGATGAGAATTTCAAGCCGAAAAAAAACTTGCACGTTTTGAGCGCCCTCACGCCCGTGTCTCAGCGCAGCAGGGTATCCGAAGGCAGAAAGGCATGAGTCTTCCATAGCAATCCTTGTGTCATAACAAATACTTACGAAAGGGCCAAAAAAGGTCTCAAGAATTGCCCTCCGACATTCATGCCTGTGTGGCATGGAGACGCATCATGTCAGCGCGTTACCACATCAACCGTCCCCGAACAAACGAAAAACATCTTTCACCGTAGACAACCGCTCAACAGACAAATCGAAACAAACACACGGCACGCGGTCATTGTGAAAAAAAGAGTCAGCTTACTCCCACCAGAGGACAGAACTCTGCCTGTGGTCTGCACGCAAGGCCATCAAAGCCTTCATTCTTATCACTTATCATCCAAGTTATCGTGGTACAAAACAACAATCGCACCGCTTGATGACGCCCAGCGCGTAGTCCTCGACAGGGACCCCCGCCACAATTCCCGTCTGGAGGTGCTCCCCCATCTTCTGTGCGTAGACGTAGAAGCAAGGCGTCTTGTCGGGAACCAGCCAGCCGTTCTCGAGGAATTTCTTGAGGTTCTGGTTTCCCCTTTCGTAGACCTGTGTCAGAGATGTGCGCCCGTTGGGCCGAATTAGACAAAATGCGATCACGGTCAAGCGGTGTTGGGGGTGGGGCGTCATGCAGCGGTGGACTCGCTGGTGTTTCACGAGGAACCTTCCACGGAACCTTCCACCGCCGTTACAGCAGTATATCATAGCACGCACGTAAACGCAACCGCCCAAGGGGCTGGGGTTAGGCACCAGCAGAGGCCGGCTTTGTGGTCCAGCGTGTGCGCCACTCGTCTGTCGCCACCCTCGCGATCATCCAGTGGGGTGCCTCTGACGTACCTACCGTACGTGACACAAGATACCACATTCCCTGGGCTGATCTTCAGAGCTCGACTTCTCCACGAAAAAGATTAACAATGCAAAGGATATGTTTCGCGAACCCCTCCACGAGACGGTCACAACGCTGCGATTGTCAGCTCTGCCACTCTTTCTGCTGTGGAGATCCCGAGCTTCGAACATCAGCCCAGGGGGTGTGATATCTCATGTTACCTACGGGTACCCCCCCCCCCCCCACCC